AGTGTTCCGGGGGGGCCGTGTGCCCCTCGCAGGGTCCTCTCTGCGAGCTGGCCTCGCTGGGATTCCATTTCTTTGGTGACTGCGCTTTGGAGAAGGGAATGGGGCTGGGAAGGACGGGATCCACGTGGGTGTAAGAGCTGGAACTGCCCCAGCTGGGCACCCCAGGTCTTCTTGGCACAGCCCCACTCGTGGGCTTTGAGAAGAGCCTGGTTTGGGACGCACCAGCCCTGGAGATGCCCCCAAACTCCAGTGGCTCCCTCCAGCCCCGGATGAAGCGTGGCCCACGCTGCTCTGGGAGTTTCAAGTATTATTTTTATATGAAGGATGAAAATATGGACAAACTCAACTGTTTTTAAAGAAAGCATTACTATTAATTTGAGGTTTATATATATATATATATATATATATATATATATATATATATATATATATATATGTGTGTGTGTGTATTTATGACTGGCAGAAGGAGGGGGTTCCTGTGCCAGGGACTGGTGTAAATCAGGATGAAAGCCCTGATGCAGCAGGAAGTCTGGGGCCAAACTCCTGGTGGTGTAAGTCACTAGTTTACACTGTGGAGGAGCTGCTCCTGGGGGAGAAAACTTGCCTTTACCCATGTTGGATTTATTTTGCCTTCTTTGTTTATTGTTGTTGAGTTGGAGTTTTTTGTTGGTTTTGGGGTGGGTTTTTTTTTTATACAATGAAATCCTGAAATATTTTATACAAAGGCATTTAAAAATCTATTTAAAGAAAATAATGGAAATCAACTTGTATATTTAATATTATTAATAAACAGAGAGGTGTAGCTTGGTGTAAATCTGGGATGCAAGGGGGGACTGGAGCGTGTGACTCCCCTGTCCCAGCCCTGGGGTCCCTGAGGAGGTGACTGGGGGCTGGCTCCTGGCAGTGTTACCCTGACCTGCTTCCCTGTGGATGCACGTGGTTTCAGGGTACTGGAATGAGGGCAGAGGGATGCATCTGCCCTTCCTGCCCCCAGTTCCTGCTGGCATCGCTGAGAACTCCAGGCACTGGCTCTGATGCTGAGAGCCCCCAAAATGTGTGTGAACGGTTGGGAAGCAGCTGTTTAAAGCAAACACACTTGAGGCAAAGTTTCCTGGAGCACTTTGATTAGAGTGACAGCACTGGAAGAGGCATTTCCTTCCCCCCCACTGCTCCCCTTGCTCTTCTTCCTGCTTTCCAGGAGCAGGGGAGCCCCACACCCGCCCCCCCTGCACAGATCAGCATCTCCAGGGGGGTACCAGGGGGGTCCCACACCATCCTGAGTCCCCACCAGTCGCTGGGGTGTGCAGGGTGAACACCCCCCATTGCTCATCCAAGGGGGTGACAAGGGCAGGAGGGGATCTGGGAGCTTTTTGCGAGTGCCAGGGCTGAGCTGCTGCCTTGTTTGCTGACAAACAGGATTCCTCGAGGGGAGCTGACTCAGCCCAGCCCTTCCTCTCCCCAGCAGCAGCCGGGGGTTTCCCAGGTCCACATCCCCTTCCCAGGGAAGTGGGACCTATATATATCCTGCTGGATCCATGCCACCATCATTATGGTCAGATTTTGGGGGTATTTGAGGCCGGAGGCTGCTCTTAGGGGCGGGCACCATGCCCAGGTTTGGGGGTGCTGAGGGCAGAGAGTCCCTGCCCTGCTCCAGGATGCTCCAGGCAGCTCCACAGGAGGGGGTGGCTGGAGCTGAATGATGGCAGCTTGAAATTGTGGCAGAGCTGGGGGGCAGAGGTGAGAGCATCCCGGGCTGCTGGGGAGTTGTGAGGAGCACCAGTACCCACCCCCTCTGTATTCACACCCCACTGTCCCTCATCCCTGACTTTTTCTGGCTGCTCTGTGCACTGTAAAAGCCCCTGGAAAATGCAGGAAAAAAGCTGAACTCTGTCTCCCTGCCCTAGGGTCCGGGCCAGGAAGGTCCCTCTGCTCCTCATGTTCTCAGCTGGTGGCCTTTTCCCCTGTTAGTGGCTCCGTGTGGGAGCAGGGATGTGATTCCCTGCCCCGGGCAGCCCCCAGCCTCTGCAATTTGAGGCGAGGCAAAACCTGCTCTCAGCCCCCCACTCAGGAATCCCACAGGTGGGAAGGACACGGAGCTACATCCCTGACCCTCAGCACGTGTAGGGGAGGGTAGAAAAGAACCCCCTACCTCGAGACTGAGGGGGGCACGGAGGGTGGTGGTGCCCGGGTGTCCCTCCTGGGGTCCCAAATGGGAGTTTGTACTTCAAAAAGCTGCTTTGATGGGATGAGAACAGGGGATTTGGGGAAAAGGATGGATGGTGGAAGGGGAAAGCATCAGCAAGAGGCTCCCGCCACCTGAAGCACGGGCTGGCATGGAGTGACACACTATGGTCATCAGTGCCCACCCCGGGGTCCTGGGGGTCCCCACATCCCTGGTGCTTGTGGCATTGACAGGTCTGGGACATCTCAGGCTCATCCTGTTGTCCCAAAACCTCCCAAGCATTCGGAGACCCCCCCAGATGTCTTGAGACCCCTCCCAAGAGCCCCCAGAGAGCTCTACCCATCCTGGGAAGCCTCCCCAGTGCAGCCGCGGGCACCGCAGAGCTGCTGACAGGGCAGAAGCAGCGGAAAGGCCCCGGGGCCGCGGTTCCTGGGGCACGGCGGGGCCAGGACAGGGTTTTGGCCAAGGAACTGCTGCAGGATTTAGGTGGCCAGAGGCCGTTTTGTGGGCAGACAAAGTGATTTTGGTTACAAACCGTTATCTGCATTTTTCCCTGGGGTTTTAACCCACATGCCGATGTTGTCCCAGTTTGTTTTTAAGGGAACGCCCCCGGCAAAGGGAAGGCGGAACAGGACTCAGACCCCTCCCAGTTGCCTGTGGGGCGTTTGGGGATGGGGTCGGGGTAGCCCGGGATCAGAGCCCCGCCTCTCTGCCTGTCCTGGAATGATCCCTAGAGCCCATGTAGGGACTCTGTGGAGCCGGGGACCACGGTCCGTGGCCCTGGGGACAGGTTGGTTGTGACCCTCCCTGCAATGCAGGAGCCTGCACACCCCACTGCAGGAGGGTGGGGAGGAAGAGTGGGGGAGGAAGCCCTAGCCAGGCTCACCCCAAAAAAGTGCTCAGCACCCCCACGCTGGGCTGGGGATGCGGGCGGGTGGCTCCGGGGAGCCGGTGGCTCCGCTCGGCTCGTTAATGGGTAACGAGGGCCGGGAGGGCACTGCCCTGACCCCGGGCTGGCGCTGAGCCGGGACTGCGGCTCCAGCACGGCTGAGCCTGCCCGGCGCCCCGGAGCTGGCACCCAGCGGGGTCAAATACCTGGGACCAGACACCCACACTCCTGGGACCGGACACCCACACTCCTGGGACCAGACACCCACACTCCTGGGACCGGACACCCACACTCCTGGGACCAGACACTCACACTCCTGGGACCAGACACTCACACTCCTGGGACCGGACACACTCCTGGGACCGGACACACACCCAAGTGGGTCAGACACACACTCAGAGCTGGACACCCACACTCCTGGGACCGGACACACACATACCTGGGATCGGACGCACACCTGGGACCAGACACACTCCCGGGACCGGAAACCCACACTCCCGGGACCAGACACTCACACACCTGGGACCGGACACACACCTACGACTGGACACACACACACACACACCTGGGAGCAGACACACACCCAAGTGGGTCAGGCACACACCCAGAGCTGGACACCAATACACCTGGGACCGGGCACACCCCCAGGGCCGGGCACACCCCCAGGGCCGGGCACACACACCCCCGTCTGCGGCTGGACTCCCATACAGAGCCGGGCACAGCCGGGTTTGGGCACCCGTCTCCGGTGGGTACGGAGGGCCCTCGCCCCCCTGCCCTGCCCTCCGTGGGGTTGCCCCCGCCCCGGCCCTGCTGCCGTCCCGCCTCCTTTGATTTTCTCCGTGATTTCTCCACTTTCTTAATGTTTTATTTTTTCACTGATTTACTTGTACCCGTGTTTTATTTAAACTATTTTCCTGATTAATCGTGTTTGTTCTCCTGCTTTACTTCTTCCCTCTGAACAGAAACAAATTTTTTTTCACCCTGAAAATCCTCGTTCTTTAGTTTCAGCTTTTATTTCCCAATTAATCAATCAGTTAATTTATTTAATTTATGTAACTTATGTAGTTTCTGTATTTTTAAAGAAAAATTATATAAAAATACATGCAATTTACATATTAAATCTATATAATGTATTTAACATAAATTTATGCACATTATATATACGCGTAAAATTAATTTCTATAAATTTTATAGTTTTATAATCTACTTTTAAATGTAAATTATATATTTAAATGTAAATTATAAATTTATAATTTACTTATAAACATAAATGTATATAACTAATTTGCTTATTTTACACGTTTATATATAATTAAAAACCCGCTATTTTACACGTTTATATAAAATTAATAGTGAATGTATATAGTCGCTATTTTATGTATAAAATTAATCGTCATAATTATTATATTTAGTCTAAGTAATTAATTTAATTAGTTTTAAAATTTACATATCATGCATATATAAAAATTATATAGAAATTTATTTAAGTTATATAATTACGGTAGTTAATTAGGATTTGGCGCGCGCTGAGGTTCCTGACCACGCCCCCACAAACACCACGCCCCCACATTGACCACGCCCCCAAATGACCACGCCCCCCATCACCGCCCCCTCAGCGCCCTTCCCTCCTTGTCCGCCAGGGGGCGCCCCGCCCCTCGTCGCTCCCCCCCGGCGGCGCCGAGCGGCCTCAGCTGCCCAGCGGGTGCGCGGTGACGTCACGGCGCGGTGACGTCACTAGGCCCCGCCCCTGGCGCGGCGGCCGCAGACCCGCCGCAGCCACCGCGCCGGCGGCACAGCAGCGAGCGTGAGGGACCGGCGGGGCCGAACTGGGCCGGGCCTAATTAAACCTGTCCGGACTGCTTCCCCCTGCCCGCTTCGCCGTACCCTGTCCCGGTTCGTCCCACCGGCGGCCGCGGCTCGCCCCGCGTTCCTCGCTGCATCAGGATGTCGGTGCCGGAGCCCGCCGGCGGCGAGGAGAAGCAGGCCAAGGAGGTGGAGGACGCTGAGAAATATTCCTTCATGGCCACCGTCACTAAGGCCCCCAAGAAGGTAGCGGGACCGGCGGGGGATCAGATCCTGGTTCTGGGAAGCAGCCTGCGGTTGTGGCGGGGGAGGCAGCCCGGTTGTGGGGGGGTGGCAGCTCAGTTAGGTGGAAGCAGCCTGGTTATGAGGGGTGGTAGCCCGGTTATGGGGAGAATGCGGCCCGGTTATGGGGAGAATGCGGCCCGGTTATGGGGTTGGCAGCTCCGTTATGGGGGGGTTGGCAGCCCGGTTATGGGGGGTGGCATCCCAGTTCTAGGGGGGTGGCAGCTCCCGGTTGCGGGGCAGGAGCCCTGTGCTGCTGCGGGGGCACAGCCTCTGTTGGGGCGGAGGAGAAGCCTCCCGGCTGTGGGGCGAGCAGCCCGTGGTTGTAGGGGAACAGCTCCCAGTTGTGGGGATGAGTCTCCGGTCTGGGGGCGGGAGTAGCCCCTGGTCGGGCGGACCAGCCCCGGTGAGGAGGGGGATGCAGCCCGGTTTGGGGCGGGGAGCAGCCCTCGGCTGGAGGGAGAAGCCCTCGAAATATGGAATGGGGGGGGAACATGACGGGGCTCTGGGAAGAGCAGCCCCACAGGTGGAGTTTGTGCTGGGAAAGCTGGAACAGATCCAGTTTGGGGTAACTGGGAAGCGGGGCTTGTCCCGTGTTCAGTGGCGGAGAAGGAGATTGGTTGGTACCGGCGAGGGGGCTGGTCCGGTCTGGGGGTGGCCGATATGAGCCAGGGGGCTGCGGGCCCAGTTTGGGGTGGGAGAGAAGGGCTCGGGTACTGGGGAGAGAGAGGTTTGTACTGGGGTACAACCCTGGCCTGCATGGGGGTGAGGGCAGGACTGCGAGCTGCAGGGCAGGTTCTGGGGGGCAGGGGCCGGAGCAGGGGCCTTGGTTGTGGCACAGGAGTGCAGGGGACAGGGTGACCCCGGGAAGGGGACAGGTAGGGTGGGGCCCTTGTGTGGGACTGTGGGGTGACAGGGCTTTGTGGTGGGGAGACGTGTTATATGGGAAGAGCCAGAAGCAGCAACCCGGGTCACTCAGAATGGTGGCTGAGAGATTTCAGAGTGTTGAGATTTTGGGGACAGGGGTTCTGTTGGAGGTATGGGTGGGAGAACATTTGGGCTCAGGAAGAGGCTGCCGAGTCACCTCAGTACCCCTCCATCCCTGAAGGCCTCACAGGAGCTCTGAGATCTCCCAGTGCTGCTCCCACAACCCCGTGGGGTGCTCAGATGGCACCGACGGTGGACGAGCACTGGTCTTGCCACTGTAGCAGGGTGGGGGACTGTGGGACCCCAGTGACCTGGGGAACTGGCCCTGTGCTCTGTGCTCAGTGCTGAAGTTTCAGTCCTGTCAGGGAGGCAGGTCCATGTTCCAAGCACTGCACAGATCTGTGCAGCTGAACATTGTGTTCCCCTCGGGGCTGCAGCTGCCTGGAAGCCGTGGGTGCAAAAGCAGAGCAGTCACAGAGAATGGGAACATCCTCATTCTCCAGGGGAATCTCTCCTGTCTGCTCTGGCCACGGGTGGGACTGGGGAGCATCTAACCCTAGGGGCAGGTCAGCTGGATTTGAGGTGTCTTCTCTCCCAGGGAGCAGGGCTTGGAGACCAGGCCCTGTTTATCTGGGCTGTGGACATAGCCTGGAGGAAGGAGCAGAGGAATGTGGGGCTGGGATCTGCCTCTTCCAGCAGTGGCTCAGCACAGCTCCAACTCAGGGATTGTTTTTACCTTTTCATAACCATCATCTCTGTCAGAGCAAGCAACATGAGGCTGCAGCTGACTGCTCCAAGGGGATCAAACTGCTACCCCTGGAGCATCCCATGGAACCAAAATACCTGAGCTAAAAAGAAATCCATCGAGCATCCTCAGAGGCAAGTTTGCTAGCCTCTCAGGGGGTTGAGATGTATCCCCAGAATTTTCTGCTGCAGACATGGCTTGTGCAGCATGAGGAGCCTTGGTTGGACTCGGTGGCTGCTGCAGCTTTTCCTGGCTGGGTGAGGATATTGAAGGTGCCCAGAGCGACACACGACATTTGAGGCTGATAACATCAGAGATGGGGAGCGAGCTGAGCTGAGCTCAGGGAACAAATTGCTCTGGGCTCCTGTTTTCTTTGCCTGGCTAGTTCCTGCAAATAGTGCTGGGGAATGGCAGAGGCCTTGGCAGGAGGATGAAAGACCAAAGGAGGGAGAATTGCTCTCCTGAGATAAGCTGTTGAGTGCCCCCAGCTCTGATGCCTCAGAACAGGATTGCAATTAAACCATTAAAACGCCCTTCTGATTCCCTGCAAGTCGAAGTGACTTTTGTGCCAGCTGCTCTGGAGCTCCTGGCATGGCCAGAGGCCAGCAGAGATGGTGGAGAGAGATGATTTACCAGCATGGAGCTGGGCAGGATTGCGCTGTGCTGCTGAAGCACATCCCCTCCTGGGTTTTTGGGCTCCTTGAACTTTGTTGATGCAGTTAGTGTGAGGAGTTTGGAGATGGGGGGTGGGAATGGGCTATGCTCAGTGCAGGCCACATCTCTCTTTGTGAATGGCTTTTCAGAGGAGCCTTAACTTGTGCTGGAGCTTGGGGAAAGTGCCACCAGCATCCAGCCCAGGACCTGGAGGAGCATCTTGGATGTCACTGGAAGCATGTTGGCCCTGTGGGTGCTGAGGAGAAGTTGATGTCTCCTTGTTGGGGTCACCTGGAGCTGGAAGTCAGCCCCAGCATTGCTGTTTCCTCTTGTCAGGGACTTGATAAGGTGAAAAAGTGAAATAAGCAGCAGGTAAGAGATTAAATATGATCAACTCCAGGCTGAAGTAGGAGCTGACTCAGTGGAGGTAAAAGGAGGAATGGGGGTGTTTTCCCATTACCTGGGTTTGCCAGAGCTCCCTTTTCACTGCAGTTCGTGGGGATTTGTCTGTCAGCATAATGACTCCATTTTGATCTGAGCGAGGTGGTTCTTTGGCCAGGAGTGGTTTGCAGGCAGAGGTGAGCAAAGCTGAGTTTTGCACCTTCTCCAGCCACTGCTGTGGTGTTGCTGGGGAAGATTGGGAATGCTGAGGTTGGTGGCTCACCTCATTTTGGTGAACATGGGTGTGGAGATGATGATGGCAGAGCTCAAGGGCAGGTTGTGCTCCTCCAGTTCCTTGTGTGCCATCGCTGCTGTGTCTGGGCATCTGCTCTCCTGCCTCCCTGGAGACTGCAGGTGCCCTTGGCAGCACTTGCTTTCCCAATCCACGTCAGCCGGTTGGCGGAGCCTTAAACTCCCAGCAAGCCAAGCTGGGGGTGCCCTGGAGTGAGGACAGAGCGAGTGGCACCGTGCTTGCAGCAGGGCAGGGGGCTTGGCACGTGCTGTCCCTGTCTGTCACCTCATCCCGCTGTGTCCTTGTCCCGCTGGCATCGCTGTCTGCTGGGCTCCTCCACACCCGGGTGCTGGCAAACAGATGGCCACTGCAGACAGATCTGCCTCCTGCAGCATTCCTGGGCTCTGAGATGGGCTGAAGGCTGTGCTGTGGCTCTGGGGAGGTGAGTTGGGTGGCTCTCCGTGCCCACGGAGCCCGTGTGGGTGTGTTTGGTGGTGCTGTGCCCCTGCGGCTGCCGGCTCGGCTGTGGCAGCGAATGCTAATGCACCGCGCTGCAGCTTTGCGGTGGCAGCGAGCCGGGTGCTGCCTGGTGTGGGGGTGGCAGAGATGGAACAGGGAGAAGCTGGGGAGAGGGAGATGGAGCCTGTGGAGAGCTGCTGGCCCCTGGGGAGGGATGGGTGTTGTCTCCAGAGCATCGTTCCCGCTATTGCTGTCTGCAGTGGCCTGTGGAGCGCTGACCTTGCTGCAGCCGGCTGCATCCCTGCCCTGTACAGACCATTCCCAAAGACCTGTTCCTGCCCCACTTTGCTCTGTCGTGACTTATCCCAGGTCCCTGCAGCTCTGCCAGGCTGGGTGATAATAAACTACCTTCCCCTTCAGGCTGTCAGGGGGATGAGACTGCCCTTGTTTGTCCTGACAGAGCTCCTGTAGCCATTCGTTTTTCCTGTCCCTTTAATTTAATTCCTTAGAGTGGCTGCTCATAAATCCTCTGTGCCATTGTGAGCCTGTCTGGGGCCATGGCTACCACTCCTGTCCTGCTGTTCTGCAGGCACTGCACACCTGGCTCTCATTCCTTTGCCCAGATCTTCACTTCTTTGGTTCCTTGCTCTGTCACAGCAGTTTTTCCTTCTCATAATGAGATGCCTGGGCTGGGATGAGTTGAACTCCTTGTCCTCTGTATGGATGTCCTGAGATGAGTCTGGCCTTCCCTGGGGTGCAGGAAAACCCTAATAAGTGGGGGGAAAAAAGTACAGGGGTGTTTGGAGTGGAGATGAATTATCAGGGCTTGGGGCAGCCAGCTCACTCCTGGTGCTGCATTAAATGACAGAATCCTAATTTTTTCTAAGTTGCTCTTGGGACCTTCCTGTTGTTTCGGTGTTTTGGAGAGTCTCCCTGATGTCCTGAGGGGAGGCTTGTCCCAGTGCCTCAGCACTGGGCAAGGCCAGAAGACACTTAATTGAGTCGTTGAACCAGAGAGGGGAAAAAAAGGAGGTTTTGGGAGTTTGATGGGCACAAACCATCTTCAAAATGATGTGCCAGAGCCTGTGGCTTTTGCTTCCCCCTTTTCCTCCTGCATCCTGGAAGGAGGCTGGGTTTCCACTCTTGTGTCAGTCCTTTGGACATGGGAGAAGGGTTGGGTATTCATTCTTCCCAGTCTTCAGAAACATCTCTTGTCATCTTTTGATGGTATAGGGGTGGAGACCACCCATCCTGAGAGACCCTTCCCACATGAGCAGCCAGGTCTGGAGTGTGGGAAGAGTGCTGGAGGCAGGAGCACAGTGTTTTTTGACCTTCCCTGAGATGCCAGGTTATCTTCTGCTGGGGGCCAGCCTACCACAATACTTTCTTTGGGAACAGTTTTCTCTGTCTTTCCAGCCTGCAAATGTTGGAGTATGCTCCCTGCTAGATGTTGAGGCTGGGGTATTTTGCTCTGGAAATCAGGTTTTCAAGGTCAGGTTGGAGTTA